TCAAATATCTGCCATAGAACAGAAAATGATTTTTTACATTTTAATGCATATTGGCCATAGAGGCAAATATGGCCTATAGACAACTTTTTCAAATACAAACTTTTGGCTCAAGTTTTGATCTATTCCTACTAATTAGACCCAAGGACTTAAAAAAACACAAGAAAATATATCAAAATCTGTAAGTTTTCAAACTAGCTATATGCAGTCTGCATATTGGTGCACAAGAAGTGCTCAAAGACAAATAAATTTTGTGCTTGAAAACTTACAAAGCTACAATGCTGAAATTTTGCACCAATATTAACATGGACTCTCTGGACATGTCAGAAAAAACAGAACTCAAATATCTGCCATAGAACAGAAAATAATTTTTTACATTTTTAATGCATATTAGCCATAGAGGCAAATATGGCCTATAGACAACTTTTTCAAATACAAACTTTTGGCTCAAGTTTTGATCTTTTCCTACTAATTAGACTTCAAAAAACACAAAAAATCAAATCAAAATCTGTAAGTTTTCAAACTAGCTATATGCAATCTGCATATTGGTGCACAAGAAGTGCTCAAAGACAAATAAATTTTGTGCTTCTCTAGCTCTCCCCCAATGTGCATAAAAGTGAATTCTGAGCACTTTTTTTGCGGAAAGTGCCAAAAATACAGTGCTTCCAAAGTAAGGCAGATATTGAATCTCGGTTTGTGGCATTGCAAAGCTAAGATTTCAAGCTAGTTGCTGTGTAAATTTCATCATCCTATCTCAAGTGGTTTGGCCGTGGTGAAGTTGCAAAGTTTGGATTTTCAAAAAAAGCCAAAATTGGCAAATTTCAACAGGCAGCTACTTATGGTACCAAAATCCATTTTTGGGTCGAATTTTTTTGATCTCGGAAATCGATGTAACCCGGTTTTTTGGACTCAGTGCTTCTCTAGCTTTCCCCCAATGTGCATAAAAGTGAATTCTGAGCACTTTTTTTGCGGAATTTTGTGAAGCATCAAAATTTGGATTTTGAAAAAAGGCAAAATTGGTCAATTTCAACAGGTGGGTCCAAAATCGAATTTTTTGGGTCTTGGAAATCAATGTAACCTGGTTTTTTGGACTCGTTGCTTCCCTAGGAGTCCCCCAATGCCCATAAAACTTGATTCTGAGAACTTTTTTATTTTGCGCAAAAGTGCCAAAAAAGCCTGATTTTCATGAGCAAAACGGAATCACCCAGAAATTTCTTGGTAGAGCAACTATGGAATCGCAAAGCCAACATTTGAAAATATTTTGGGTCAAAATTTCAGCATCCTACCTCAAATGGTT